CCTAAATGGGTCGGGACCTCCCCCATCACCGGCCCTTAACACGCATCCCGAGACCCCTAAATCTCATACCCGAACCACTCTAAACTTAAACTGCTAAACCGAAATTAAACGCAGCCAAACTCTACCCAACTGGGCTGAACCGAGCCCATTTCCCGTAAACCGAGCCGAATCGGGCTCAAATCCCCAAAACCAGGGTGAACCGGGTTTTTTCCTCTTTAAACCCATGACGAACCGGCCCAAAACCTCATGAAAAACCACTGAACTGAAACCCTACACCCATGAACCGAACCTGAAATGACAAAAATCAGCCGGTTCAACAGGTTTTCCCAAAAATTTTCCTTAAAGCTAGATGAACCGGGCTGGTTTATCACCTAAAACCAGCCCAGGCACATTCTCCAAGGTTCCCCGAGCCGGGAACCGATTTTTATTCCCCGGTCCAGGCCGGTTTAGGGCCTGAACCGGCCTGGTCAAAGCGGACTGGGCCGAACTGGCCCAGTCAACGCTGGACAGACCCGGGAAGCCCCCGAGTCTGTCTTCTTCGCCCGGGACCCGGACAGCAGACCCGATTGTCTGCAACAGGTCTCGGCACCCGAATCACCCAGAACCCCCCTAGAAGCTGCTTACTAATGAACCGAAGCTTCCCGAGCTCGATTCCAACGTCCTCGAGCTGCCTAGACACGATCAATTGGGAGGAATTCAACCCAAAAACAAGATTTTTCCCAGTCGGCCAAACCGCACACCGCAACCCCCTTCCAGCTCGGCTCTCCCTCTCTTCTCGAAATTTCTTGTTCCTTCAACTATACCTAGTTCCGATTTGCTTAAATGTAAAGTAAAAAAATTGCTTTTGTGTTGTTTCAAGCTCATTGGAGCAAAAATCATCCGGTTCATTTGGCCGTTTTTCTGGGTTCTCTGTTCATTTTTTTTTTTTTAACCGGGTTATTACAGGTTGGGCCCCACTCATGTCAATCGTAGCTAGTTTGGATTGTTGTTTGACAAGTGAAAGTTAAATAGTTATATTATGTGTAGATTTTGATAAGCAAACAGAGAAGTTACGAAAGATATTTATATTTTCAGTTATGATAATGACTTTGTTCTCATGTTATGTTATGGCAAATTATATTGTATTATTCAGTTATTTGGATGTGAGTTATACAGTTGACTCAGTAATTATGATAATCAAATAAGATTTGATCTTCTCCAGTGAATCATGGGCATCGGAGATTGCTAAACCATATTCCATTGTCACACCTTGCTCAAGTTACGGGGTGGGGTGTGACAATTAGTGGTATCAAAGCAGTGTTAAGATTTTTAGGGAGTCAATGTTAATAAGTCTTATAGTAAAAGTTAGTCACAATTAGAGCACGTGCATTACATGAATAATGAGTATTATTTGACGTGTTATGTTGTATAAGATATTTGTACCAATCATATTAAACACACTGAGGATCTCAAGTAATACTTGTATTGGCCAGAGTAGGGTTAATAGAGACAGAGTGAGCTGACTTCTTAGGGAGACATCTAACATTTCAACATCTGTCCCTGTGGTATTACATGCATCATACACACATAATTCATTGAAGAGAATACATATGACTACTGATAAGAATTTGAAACATTGAGATTATAAACTGAAAATTGATAAAGATTTTGGAAAGTTATACATAGTCCGTCAATTGAAATAGAAACAAATTACTAAGAGATGAAATTTTGCATATGTAATAAATGTGAGCTTAAACTAAGAACCAATTATTTAAAGAAAGTAAAAGACAAGTGTTATATTTTGGCTCTAGGTAGTATGATCTCCAAAATATAAAATTTTAGAATATATTGGTAACAAATAGTATATTATTAAGGTTCGTTAGAAAATCTAGTTAGATCAAGGTACGTGAAAGACTGAGATAATCTTAGTAAATAGCTAAGAATTAGAACAGTATCATTTTTTGTATATATGATAAAATAATTACAAAATAATTTAAACAAGGTTTGGGGACGTGTTATAAAAAATATAAATTTGAGTTTTGAGGATTTTATGAGTATTTGAATTTTTAGACATGGTTAATAGTGATTTAAAGGTATTTTGGAAATTTTAGCATGATTAAAATTTACTTGGATGGACTGGTTGACGTAGATCTGAGATAAAGAGATTGAAGTTATTTAAATGAACTGGCAGTTTAAAATTTATTTTTGGGTAATCATTAGAATATAAACAAATTTTTATGGAGGGACTGTCTTATGTAAATTCTAGATAAAAATTGAGAGTTTTCTGGAAAAAAAAATACTAGGTGGTTAAGTTATTCGATTAAAAGATACGAGGATTAGTATCACTATTCGACTTAAATTTGGAATAAAAAGGATTGGAAGTAAAAAAAAATAAATTGGCCAATGGTTATATATTAATGATATTCTATGATGATTTTAGAAATTTTATGATGCAGCCTAAGGGTATAGTTGTTTTCCAAACGAAATTGCAATGAGAAGTGAGATGTTTGTTAGAAATTATGAATTCTCATCTCCTTGATGACACGAAAAAAAATCAGTCTTAACTATGATAATGATAAGGATATCAAAGGAATACGGAGTTTGAAGTTATAGGATTTTGAGATATATTAAGTGAAAATTAAAAGATGGTCATGCAACAGAGAATATGGAACAGTAATGTGAGATAAGTTCATATTGTTACTAAATTAACATGTCAAAAGTATTAGGAGATTTAGGGATTATATAGGGTATAAATTGGGAAATTTTGGGTAATAATCAAAAGAAAATAAATGAGAGGAAATAAAGGCTTGATATAGTAGAATATGTGAGTGAGATTAAATGCAAACTATTATCAGGGAAATTAATAGTAATAGATATAGTAGAAATTGAAATAATAAAAAATGTTGAATATAATCTACAGGGGTATTTTTGTTTTTTGCGATCATGGGAATAAGTTTAAAGTTCAAGAAATTCAAAAGGGCATAATTATTTAAGGAGATGACTATTAGTGATATAAAAGTTAAATTGGAAGATTTAACTCATTAAAAATAAGTTAAAATGTAGATTGAAAATTTTCGAAAAATCCTAATAGTAATTAAAGATTACATTTGCATTGATAGTTGAAGAGAATTTCTGAATATTTTTTTAGAATAGTTATCAAGATTACTACCAGGTAGAAAAGCGGAGTTTGGAATTGAGCTGGTAGCAGGTACACAGCCAATTTCACGAAAAGAACCTTATTGGCCACCGTATTGAAGACTTTTCTGAGACATCGTGGATTTGCGGAGTCCTCCACTTTTGTTTCAAATTTCGGTAGTTAAGGTAGACTAATTGTGCTTAACTACTAATTAACTAAAGATTTGGATAATTACATAAGATTACAAAATATTTAGATAATTAATTCCAATTTAATTTTTTAAAATATTTAAATAGAATAGATATGATATTAGAAATATTAATGCTTGTGCATATTCATATGTAAATTACATAATAAATTATATCATGTGATTTTTATGCACAGCACGTGCCCTGTGAGGTTGTACCTTGTCGTGAATATAGAAACGTGAAACTTGGTTTCTTGAGTCCAATAATTATGAGACAGAAAGAAGAATAATTGGTACCAGCCTTTCAGCAGCATCATTGTCAAAGGAGGTCCGAATTACAACATTGTATTGCACCGATCCACTTGTTCTCTTAAAAGCTGGCTTGGACTGACCCATCAATTCTTAATTTTCGAATATTGCTCTTGTAGATTAATGGAATGTTTTAAATGGTTGTATTTTTATTTCTAAAATGCATTTATTCTCATTTTAATATATATATATATAAATGTTTATACAAATTCTACTAGTTGAAGACTAAAATTGACAAGTCATTGACTAAAGAGGGTGAGAAAGATGGGAGTAGAAAGCAAAAAGAAAAAAAAGAAAATGACATGAAAATGAACATTCAATAAGTGTTTTCACCTACTTTTCTTAGTTAAGGAGTGCCCAAATTTATAAAGTGACGGTCTCAATTGCATATTATAGATTAACTTTAATCATATCCATTAAAATCCAGAAGTGGAGGGAGTCTTTTAAAAATTTTAAAAATTTTGGGTTTTTATTTTAATAATTTCCTAGGTTGAATAGTTCAACCTCAGATGTCCAAGTAGGTCTGTTCTATTTACTATAATAAACTTGTTAAAACTGGGATGCATTCGAATAGTCATGGGGAATCCCATTCAGATTTTTGTCAATAAAGCATAAAAATATGTAACCCTGCTAATTTCTAATGAAGTGACATGCTTGTGCAAGTCAATACCAAGTGACGTGGACTTCCCGGTCTAATTTTCTCGGCCACCAAACGCCACACTTTCTTCCCTTTGTCTTCTTTCCTCCATTTTCTGACCCACAGACAGCAACAAACACAAATCCAGTTCCCACGAATTTAACTCTAATGCGAAGTAGAAACTTTCACTATTAAAATTATTCTTAATATAGTATAAATCAAGCACTGGTAATCAGATCACGATGCTAGCGTTTTCAATTACGCATTATTAAATACATCAAAGTGGAACTTTAAGAAAATACAAAAGCTTAAACCTCTTCTAATTGATGAACAAACTGCCCGGTTAAACAACTGAAAACAGCACACTCAAACCCCCAATCCGATATCATCACATAGCTACTCTAATTTTCTGATTTTCTTCCTTTTTTTCTCTGTTCGAATTCCAACGCCTTCTTCTGCTCAAACACCCTTGATGTTCTTCATAGCGGACCACTGTAATGGACAGTTCAGATTACACTTGGGAACTGATAATTACGTAATTAACCATCATACAAACTGAGAAAACATGTTAGGATTTGCTTTTGAAACAGAAAAATGAAACCCATCTTGGCATGTTTTCTAACTTCTAAGACTGTTTCTGAATGGATTTTCGAAGACCCAAAAACTGTTTTCACACAAAAGATGAAATGATGGAAAAGTTTCCTGTTTTCAGAACATAAAAATGTAAAACTAAGAAATTAAAAATTGAACCTTTATGCAACAGAGCGGCGTGAATTCACATACCCATTTTCTAGAATCCAATTTCCGTTCTCTTTCGGTGCTTCGTCCTCATCATCTCCCTCTCCTTTCTCTTCAGCTCCCGAGGAATTCGATTCCGCCTTTTTCTCTAGAACTTCGATCAAGTTCTGCAAGCAAGCAGCGGCCACGGCCGTCGAGCCTTCAATGCTGGTCGTCCCCGTGATCAAATTCTCCGCCACATCTGCTGGTGCAATATCAATTTCTCGCAGCAACCCTTCAATTTTGGGAAACAATTCGTGCTCCACAATCCCCAGATAATTCCTGGCCAAAACCTTGAACGCTTCGAAACTGCAATACAACATCTCTATATGCTTATCCATTCTTCCCTTCCGAATCAGAGCCGGGTCAAGATTCTCGACACGGTTCGTGGTAAACACTATCAGTCTCCCCCCTTCACTCGCCGAAAAAAGCCCATCTACACAATTCAAAAGCCCGATAAAGTCACCATCTCCATCTTATCCTCCCCTGATGCTTCTTCTGCCTCTTACCCGTTACATTGCTGGAGCAATCTATGTCCTCAATTACAAGAATTGAATTACAGGGGGTTCGATTCAGAAGCCTTTTTAGCGCAGCATTGCTCAAAACCGCCGTTAATTCTAGATCGTAAATATCATAACTTAAAAAATTCGCCATGACCGCAATCATCGTGGACTTCCCCGTCCCCGGTGGACCGAAAAGCAAATACCCTCTTTTCCATGGCTTTCCGATCCTCCGATAATACTCTCGTGCATTCGAAAACCTCACCAAATCCTCGATAATGTCCTGTTTCTTGTTTTTCTCCATGGCCAGGGTGTCGAACGCCGCTGAATTGTCGAAGTCCTTCATGTAGTTCCAGTAATCTCCTCCCTCGCTACAACAGTTCGAATAGAGCTTTAACTGCCGATTGCTCGCCACCGTCGCTATCCCCTCCTCCATCACGTACTTCACGTACTCTGACACCACCATTTTCCGGTGCAATTTCCGGCAAGTCAAAGTATAATAACGGTTCCTTCTAGAACCTCTCATCCTTCGCTTGGCTCTTTCCCTTTGCTAAGATGCCACCAGATTTTGACACCGTTAAACTCGTCGGAGACACCTTCTCCGTCGTCGACGCAGAAGACAGGGGTTCTAATATCCCTAACGGCGTTGGCCTTGAGACGCGGCGCCTGGGAGGCGCAGTTGGCGCTGAGGTAAGTCTCGATGGCGCTGTAGGCCTCGCGGTTTCGTGGCCCGCCGTCGAAGGTGTCTTCGTGGAATTTGATCTGGACGTAGGGGTCCATGGAGCTGACGATTTTGCGGATGCAGCGCTCCAGGTATCCTCTGAAGTGGTTGAAGAGGAACTGCTGGAACATGGTGAGGACGACCATGGAGGCGGCGATGGCCATGGCGAAGCCAATCTGGTTTGTCCCTCCCTCAGCCCATTGTGGGCCCATGAACGGCAAGGGATTCTCCATCTTCGGCTTTTGCGAGTAGGAAGAGAGACGATGAGAGACTGATTAATCTGTTTTGCTCTGCTTTCGATGTTGAAGGTTAATGACTAGTGAGAAGGCCATGGTGAGCGAGTGCCAAGTCAGCGATAAAACATTATTCTGTAATTATTTTAATTCTTAATTTTTTTTATTACATGAAAATTAAACAAAGAACAAAGTATTTATAAAATAATGAAGTAAAAACCACTTTCTCTTTTTCATCTCCTTTTCTCTGCAACTAGGCTTTTATGAAAATTATAATTACATCTATTTTATTTAAAATTTTTATTAATTATATCTATCTTATTTAAAAATTCATGGGTATAGATTACGTTATTTTTCAAATACTTAGTTTTCTATTTCAATTTTCGAAAATCTAAATATCCATTCTGTTAAATATTATGGAAATCAGGATTATCCTGTAAATAATTATAAATATTTTCCTATTATGTAATAAATATCATTTGTCATTTTCCTACATACCACTTTCAATTTTAAAGATGTCAAATTAGCTGATTCTGTTTATACCTTGTATTGATTATGATGTAATTACAATTAATTTAGTTTGAGGGACTACCCAGAATAAATAAATACAAAGAATTATGATTGTGTAGGCCCAAAAACTCGAAGTCCTTGCATTTAAATTTATGTAAACTTTCATTAGAAGTTTGAAATGACTTCAAAATTTTAGGAGAAGACAACATCTTTTCAGCAAAAGTTAGTTTTTTTTGGTGGTGTTCCTTGGTTTTGGCCAGTGAAATCTTTTGTGGAAAACCACAAACTATAAACTAACTCCACTTGTAAATGTCACCTAAGGAAAAGGTAAGCAAGTTGTAATTTATTTATTTGCCTACCAAACGCGCCCTTAGTAAGGTACAGAGTTAACCAAGTGGATTTGCAAATGTTTAGGCTATCTAATTAATGAATGATGGAAGAGCAAAGGTAATTGCATCACAAGGCAGACACAAAAACAATGAACCTGGAGAGCAGTGACAATTAAGGAAGTAGGTACAGGTTATAGAACGACACAAAAAAACATCGTTTTCTGACCAAGAAAAGCCAAAGGTTCGGGTATTATTTGGCTGATTAATTTATCTTTCTGTGCGATGCCCTCGTCCTCACTCATATAAAAAATACTTATTTATTTGCGTGACAAACAACTCATCTTACAACATGAAGTAACGTCATTACACCACCATTAACAACATAAATAACATATAACTCATACGTGAACGTGTCGTTGTAAAATCATAAATTGTAATGATTCTAATTTATTAAAATTTTTGAATTTTTTACTAATAATTAAGTTTAGGGGCTTAATTACAAGAATTAAAAGAAATTGAGTGTAATAACCCAAATTATTTACTAGGGGTATAAGTGATTAAATTGTAAGTTTTAGGGTGGAATTGAAAATTGGGGAGCAAAATGAACAGAACAAAAAATTCAGGGGACCTAATTGAAAAAAAAAAAAGAGGGGAAGGGGACCTTCGGCCGGAAGTCAGCCGAAGGCTGTAGAAGCTGGATTTTTGCTCCAATAGGAGCAAGCCAGCTTTCCTGGCTCTTAGATACTTGAGTATGGTCGACGGGCGAGTCAGACAGAGAGAAGAATTGAAAGTTAAGGAAAGAGAGGAGGGGGAATTCAGGGGTTTTGGGTTCGGTTGGCCATTTGTGCGAGAGTTGGGTTTTTTTTTGAAAATTTAAGGTGATTCTATTTATTCTCTTCAATTTATTTAACTTCGTGGAGCTCATGGGAGCCAGCTTGGGTTGTTTTGATCTTCAATTGAACCAGGTGAGTCAAGATTTTCTTGTTCTTTCAAAATTTCTGTTTCGGGTTCTGTACTGGAGAGGCGGATTCTGGATGCAGATTTGGGTGCCTCAAGTGGGCAAAGAAGAAGGGACCTGGCTGAGCTAGGTCCCGCACGAGGGTCGGCCCGGGCTCGGCCCGACTTGGCTACAGGGCCGTGGCCCTGAGCCGCGGGCCAGCTACGAAGAGGGGGGGAGGGTGTTGCAGACCTGGGCCAAGGGCCCGGGTAGAGAGGAAGGGACCCGAATGGGTTCGGGTCCCTGTGCTGGGCCAGCCCGCCCTGTTGGGCTGGGCTCGGCCCAGAAAGGCTGCGGGCCCGTGGGTTGAGGCTGGGCTGAGTTGACCTGCTGGGTCGACTCGGCCTAGTGAGTAAAGGGTACGGGTCAACTCAGCTGAGTTGACCCAGGATGGAAATCGGGGATAAGCTATTCCAAAGGGATAAGAAATCAGGGATAAGGTGTAATGGCCCAATTTTTGTTTTTATTTTTGTTAGGGACCATTTTGCACTAATTAAAATGTTTGGGGGTGAATATGGAAATTTGGGGACTAAAAAGAAGAGATCAAAATGTGGGGGACCGAATTGAAAAAAAATATATATATGGGAAAGGGGACCTTCGGCCGGAAGCTGGCAGAAGGATGTGGAAGGAATTGAGCTCCAATAGGAGCTCAACACCTCAAAAACTTTTTGCAATCTGATATATATAGGTTTAAACGAGGTTGAAAGAAGGAGAAATTGAGAAAAATTTCAAGAAAAAGGGGGAGAAACTGAACGGGGAAGCACCGGAAGTGCCGACGAGAATGCTGGGAAAAATCCGAGACCTAAGCTCGATTTGCTCCGATTAAAAGGCATCAACGTGCTCGCCAGCCTTACACACACCATTTCGGGCTTTTGTGGATCAAGGTAAGTTGAATTGGAGGGTTAATTTGAGTTTGGGGTGATCCGGGTCTGTTACAGACCCGAATGGTGTTTGGGGTGCTTCGGTCAGGTGAAGAGGAAGGGACCCGGCTATGCCGGGTCCTGCACAAGGGTTGGCTCGGGCTGAGGGCAGGAGCTCGGCCTGATCTGGCTGCAGGGCCGTGGCCCTAAGCCGCTGGCTAGCTACGAAGGGGGGGAAAGGGTGTTGCAAACCTGGGCCAGGGGCCTGGGAAGAGGGGAAGGGACCCGGATGGGTCCGGGTCCCTGTGCTGGGCCGACCCGCCTTGTTGGGCTGGGTTCGGCCCAGAAAGGCAGCGGGCCCACAGGCTGAGCCGCGGGCCAAGCCCATATGAGGTTGGGCTAAGTTGACCCATTGGGTCAACTCAGCCTAGTGAGGTAAAGGTTGGGTCAACTTAGCCGAGTTGACCCAGAAAGGGAAATTGGAATAGACTATCCCAAGAGGACAAGAAATTGGGGGTAAGGCCAAATTGGGGATAGCAGGGGATAGCATAACCCGGATTTCTGGGATTAGGGTTTGGAGAGTTGACTGAACCGGCTGGAATCGGTTCAATGTTTGACCAGCCAGTTCAGTAGTTAAATAGACTCAGATCTGGGAAGTTGGACTAGTTCTGGATTCAAAGAGAAAATACGTATCAAATCAAGTGGGTTCGGGAAATTTTGGGTGCCCGATTCGAGGTGAATTGGCCGGTTTAGTGTGGTCCCTTCGGGTGACCGGTTCATCGATTTTTAAGCCGGTTTTTGGGGAGATTGAACCGGTTCTTGGTTCAACATGATAAAACCTAGTGGATTATGAAATTTGGTGATATTTGGATGTTGGGTTCAAGGTGAACCGGCCTCGATTTGCGTGTCGATGTTCCAAATTAGGGTTTTTGGCCCGGTTTGGCCTAATTTTAGAGGTTTTTGGCCAAGTTAAAATGGTTCCTAAGGTTTTTGGGCCTTTTGAATCCATTTTTGAGGGTTTTGTGGTCAATCGAGTTGAGTTCGAGATAGTTTCAAGATCGGGTTAGGCCAGTTCGGGGGTTTCAAAGACCGGTTCACTATGGATTGGGAGTTGTGGAGGCTGGTCTTTTACTGTTAAAGGTTGTTAAGCCGAAGTGTGAGTGTTAGTGAGTCATGTAGGATCCGGTGATGGGTAGTGGTATCTCAGGATACGTGTCAGGTACGAGAATGGAATTAAAGTCCTGTCTTGGGTTGTCGAGCCGTTTGGGTACTGACGATGAGGTCGGTGACGGTTTTGTATGGTTTTGACTTCAGGTTTATCCGTGGAGAAGCACCGAGACTGGAGAGTTGATTGACGTGACCTGAGGCTTTTATTAGACTCGGCCTATAGTGAGTGATGATACCCTTTCTGTGCATGTATTTTGGTGCCTGTTTTCCTAGCATGATGATTGTGTGGATTCATAAACTGTATCTTGATACATGAACCATATGATTTGTATTATGTGTCGATTTCTGTGTGGTGGGATACGTTGGTATGTGAAACGGGGTTGGGACTTGGAAACTGTATATGTGGTATGCCTGTTTGTATGAATGTGTGGGAAGTTCATGATGCGTTGAGACCGTTTGCTCCAGTCGTGAGATGGAGGATGCCTCTCGACCGGGAGCGTGTAGTGGTTGCCCAGGGGGCGTGCGGCTCTGGTTGTAAGATGGAGGATGCCTCTCAACCGGGAGCATGATGTATGACTGTGTTGGGGCCTGATTGCGAGACGGAGAATTCTTCCGATCGAGGCCAGAGTCTCAGTGATCATTGTACTTCCAGATTTGTGTATATTTTATGTTGATATGGATCGTTGTATGTATGTTTTTGACTTGCGTGTGAGAAAGGTGTTGTGTGATGTGATGTGAAGATGCTAGGAACTCAGCTAGAGTACGGATCCGTAGGGTCAGTGGTGAGCAGCCTGGGTCGGGCGAGTTACTAGTGATGCCAGGAACTCAACTGGAGTACGGCGGTCCGTAACGTCTAGTGGTGAGTGGCCTGGGTCGGGTGATGTAACTACGATGCTAGGAACTCAGTTGGGGTACGGTGGTCCGTAACGTTTAGTGGTGAGTAGGCCTGGGTCCTGTGTGGTGATGTGAATTGATGTGCTACGATGTGATGTGATGCATGGTTTGCGGCATGGTTCAGAGTGTAGTTGATATGTTATTGATTGCGACATATGTATGTATGGTTTTTGAATTATGGTATGATGCTTATTCAAACATGCATAGAGTAGGTATCATATGTACTCACTGAGTTTCACTACT